ATATTGGAACACTGCTAACATGTCTCCCCTAGTCCTTCTTTTCATTAAACTAGACATACCCAGTTCCTGCAAGCATTCTTCATATGTTTTAGCCTCCAGTCCCCCATTCATCTTTGTTGCTCTTCTCTGCACTCTTTCTAGAGTCTCCACATCTTTTTGACATCGTGGCAACCAAAACTGAATGCAGTATTCCAAGTGTGGCCTTACCAAGGCATTATAATTGGCAATATATATTGGAGGGTTGGAAATAGAGTGACTGCAGCAAACATCAAGAACATTCACTTACTGTAATAGTTGAGATGAAGGAGATGTGTTGAAGCTTAATGGTTGAAACGTAGCCCTGGTGGCGGAGATTATAGCACTAATGAAATGCTTTCCTGGATTGTAATAGTTCTGTGGGTTCACCCCATCCCCATTCAGAGTCAGGAGACATTTGAGTGCCCCACAGACTCCCTGGGGCCAAAAAAGCAGCACCCAAAGAAGCAAAAGCAGCAACATGATTTGTCTTTCTGATTGTGCTTCCTGTATTGTGCCTGCTTTGAACAACCATCCAGAGAAATTGCTGGAAGAGAACAAAGCCCACTTCTGAGACGGAAGCCTGAGGAGCTTTCAAAACACAGACGTAGTCCTGCCAAGCTTCACTTCTTGAGGAGAGGAGACAAAGTATATCCCTTGACTGCTCTAAAAGACCCAAACCCCCTGCCAGCTCTCTTTTTCTCCAGATCCATTTATTCACCCATTTCTTTCCATGAGCGCAGTCAACAAAGCTTTAGAATGGTATTGAGATGAAAACATGTTATTGGCATCTTGTTGCCAAATCTTCTGAAAGTGTACAGAAAAGTCTCTGGAGACTTTGCAGCAAGATTACAAATAAATCACTGGGATCTGGATAACAGCAAGGAGGAGAGATAAAACCTCTCTTAACTCTGAATTGGTCAACAGGGAGATGCATAGAGTTTGTGTGAATGAGAGACAACATGGCCCCAAAGCAGGGGTGCAATTCAGCAGGTTTTGACAGGTTTGGAGAACTGGTAGCGGAAATTTTTAGTAGTTTGGAGAACCAGCAAATATCACCTCTGGCTGGCCCCAGAATGGGGTTGGAATGGAGATTTTGCAGTATCCTTCCCCTGCCACACCCACCAAGCCACACCCATAGAACTGGTAGTAAAAAAATTTGAATTCCACTACTGCCCCCAAAATTTTTGAGATCATGATAAGGCCACACTTGGAATCCTGCATTCAGTTTTGATCGCCACAATGTAAAAAAGATATGGAGACTCTAGAAAGAATGCAGAGAAGAGCAACAAAAATGATTAGGGGACTGGAGGCTAAAACATATGAAGAACGGTTGCTAGAACTGGGTATGTCTAGTTTAATGAAAAGAAGGATTAGGGGTGACATGATAGCAGTGTTCTGATATCTCAGGGGCTGCCACAAAGAAGAGGGAGTCAAGCTATTTTCCAAAGCACCTGAGGGTAGGACAAGAAGCAACGAGTGGAAACTAATCAAGGAGAGAAGCAATTTAGAACTAAGGAGAAATTTCTTGACAGAACAATTAATCAGTGGAACAACTTGCCTCCAGAAGTTGTGAATGCTCCAACACTGGAGGTTTTTAAGAAGACGTTGGATAACCATTTGTCTGAAGTGCTGTAGGGTTTCCTGCCTAAACAGGGTGTTGGACTAGAAGAACTCCAAGGTCCCTTCCAATTCTCTTATTCTGTTCTGTTCTGTTTTGTTCTGTTCTGTTCTACTCTACTCTACTCTACTCTACTCTACTCTACTCTACTCTACTCTACTCTACTCTACTCTATTCTATCTGATCACGCCTGCATGCAGTCCAGTAGCAGCAGAAATATCTTCATGGGTTTGAATTGTCACCCATCAAAGTGGATTTAAATGGTTTTCACTTGTGATAGATTTTATGTTCCACCACAAATGTCATCTAGCTGGCATTGTGGCTAAGATAGGCTAATATTCACAGTCCTCCACTATGCTCACAATATCCTGTCTTGGTTCCTGGAGATTGTAGGCATTTGGACAGGGAAAAAACAGGCTTTGGCTCAATCCTGTCAAGATCAAGTGGCTTTGGGTTTTGGGCCACTTGGATCTAGGAAATTACCATCCTTGATTTTGGATGCAATTGCACTTCCACAGATAGGCTTGGTTCATGATCTGGGGTTTCTTCTAGACTCCTGCTTGAAGAACAGGTGATGGTTGTGATTAGGAGGGTCTTTGCCCAGCTTCTAGTACGCCAGCTGTGCCCATTCCTGGATCAATATGGATCATTCCTGGAACACTATGCTCAATCATTCATGATCAGGTCACCTCTGATATGGATTACTCTAATAAATTCAATAATATGTTGTAACACATGGGGCTACCCTTCAACAAAATGCAGTAGTACAAGCAGTTATGTGTGCAATTAGATATCTGCATAGAGCCGAGGTGGCGCAGTGGTTAGAGTGCAGGCTACGTCAGCTGACTGCTAGCTGCAGTTCAGCAGTTCAAATCTCACCAGGCTCAAGGTTGACTCAGCCTTCCATCCTTCCGAGGTGGGTAAAATGAGGATCTAGAAGTGTGATGGCGAACCTATGGCATGTGTGCCAGAGGTAGTACGGAAAGCCCACTCTGTGGGCACGTCACCAGCTGCTCTTCTGGTTTCCAGCAGGCGCATGTGTGCTGGAAACCCAAAGACCAGCTGGCTGGTGCACATGCGTGCTCGGGTACATGTAAATTTCTGAGGCTCTAGCACGTGCACAAATGCGCACACATTCCAATTTGGGCACTCGGTGCCAAAAAGGTTCGCCATCACTGACCTAGATTGCTGGGGGCAATATGCTAACTCTGTAAACTGCTTAGAGAGGGCTGTAAAAGCACTATGAAGTGGTATATAAGTCTAAGTGCTATTGCTGTTGCTATTGCATGTTACATCTCTGCTTCGTGAGCTGAATTGGTAGCCAGTTTGTTTCCAGATTCAATTCAAGGTGTTGGTAATAAACTATAAAGGACTACATGGCATTGGGCCAGGTTATTTGAAAGATAGTCTCTGTCCAGTGATATCTATTCCTCCCATCAGGTCATACAGAAGAAGCTTGTTGCAGGTCCAATCCACTAGTGCAGTGTTTCTCAACCTTGGAAACTTGAAGATGGGTGGACTTCAACTCCCAGAATCCCCCAGCCAGCAGCGCTGGCTGGGGGATTCTGGGAGTTGAAGTCCACCCATCTTCAAGCTACCAAGGTTGAGAAACACTGCACTAGAGATTGAAGATAGCGGGACTAGGAGAAGGGCCTTTTCTACTATTTCAACCACCGTAGAGAACATCATTCCCCCCAGAGTCAGGTGGGTCGTGACCTCACTGGCCTTCTGGAAGGAACAGAAGACTAGGTTTTGTCATCTGACCTGGGGTTCAGAATAGGGTGTGGAACCCATAAAATGGCTGCACTATTCTTGAATATCTGTGCTCTCCTTTTATGTATGGATTTTAATGGCTTAATTGGTTTTAATGTTTGTATTGTTTGCATGATTCTTTTTGGTACGGTTAATGTTTTAATTTTAAACCTCCAGAGCCAGAAATGTGAGATTTGGTGAATTTTTTTTTTAATTTGATTTATATGCTGCCCTTCTCCAGAGACTCAGGGCGGCTTACAATGCGCTAAGCAATAGCCTTCATTCTTTTGTATATTTATACAAAGTCAGCTTATTGCCCCCACAAACTGGGTCCTCAATTTACCTACCTTAGAAAGGATGGAAGTCAACCTTGAGCCTTGGCGAGATTGGAACCTGCAGTAATTGCAGGAAATAAATTTGAAGAAATAAAATCAAAACAAAAATAGGTTGCTCCATGAAGAGAATGTCCCAACCACAAGAGAAGTCTCCCAGCTGTTTTCCATGTACCATGGACCTCTGGAAATGTGATGAATTGGAGATGACTTTTCCCAATCTTAGAGAAAGTTCCAGATAATTTTGTTAGAACTTAACTTCATAATCTGATCTGTGTGTGTAGAGATGTTCTTCTCACAATGGGTAACCTCTGCTCAGAAAGCTGTTTTACCTATTTATTATAGTTGTATTTTATTTATTATTTTATTGTTCAATGTTCTATTGATGAAAGGTAGGGATCACTGGGATGCTCGGCTTCTTCAAGATCCAAGACAAGATACTTCAGGAAAGACTCAACCTACCTTTTGGAATCTCTTACAGTCATGGGCTTCTGCCCAACACAGTTGGTCAAAAGGGGAAAGGTTATAGGGGACAAGAGAATTACACAGATTACTAGCCAATTTCTGAACTACTCTCTGATGACATTCTGGCAACATCCAAGAGTCATTGGTCACTGGATCCCTCCTAATAAGCACATTTGTGAGAGCAGCGTTTCCCTACTACACGGATGAAGTTCTAGACTTGGAAATGTGGTTCTAGATGCATCATATGGAAGCAATTATGCTCTTATGGGAGAGGCTGGTGGCAGATAAAGAAGCAGCAGCCAAAAAGTTCCAACTGAGTTTTCAGATTCAACAAACAATTTGCAGCAAGAGAAGCACACATATTCCTAGCATAATTTTCTATATACCTAAATGCAGGGAAAGTATATTTATTTTTAAAAGTATAGGATTATTACCAGGGGTGAAATACAGCAGATTCTGACAGGTTCTGGAGAACCGGTAGCGGAAATTTTGAGCAGTTCAGAGAACCGACAAATACCACCTCTGGCTGGCCCCAGAGTGGGGTGGGGATGGGGATTTTGCAATATCCTTCCCCCAGGAGTGGGGTGGGAATGGGGATTTTGCAGTATCCTTCCCCTGCCATGCCCACCAAGCCAGTCCCACCAAGTCATGCCCACAGAACCGATAGTAAATAAAATTGGATTTCACCACTGATTATTACTATTGTGACACAAAACAAAACAAAATAAAAAACAATGTGTTTCTAAAGGAACATTAAAGCAGCAAATAATGTTTTTGTAGTGATTAACTGATATTTGGGAGAAAGAAATAGTTAGTTAATTTCTATTTTTATTTGACAGCAAATGTTCCTTGGTATTCAAATCCGGTCTTAAAAAAACAATGTAACATTTGGGGATGAAGATGCAGCCCAGAAGTCCAGCACTGGAGGCCAAGATGGAAAAAACCTGCACGGCCACCATATATTTCCCTTTGGTGCTCAGGTAAGCAGGTACAAAGGATATCCAGACACTGCAGAAAACCAGCATGCTGAAGGTGATGAGTTTGGCTTCATTAAAGGTCGCAGGTAGATTTCTAGCTAGGAAAGCCACTGTGAAGCAGATGGCAGCCAAGAACCCCATATAACCAAGGGCAAGGTAGAACATGGCAACAGAGCCTTCATTACATTTCAGGATGATCTCTGCAGATTGTGAGTACATGTCCACCTCGGGGAATGGGGGAGAAGTGCCCAACCAGATGCTGCAGAGGACAACTTGAACCACAGAACAAGAAAAAATAATAGAATTAGCCAGGCTCTTCCCTAGCCATCTCTGCACTTTATTCCCTGGTTTTGTGGCCAAGAAGGCTAGCACCACCATGAATGTTTTGGCCAAGACAGTAGAAATAGCAACTGAGAAGATGTTGCTGAAGGCTGTTTGTTGAAGAAGGCAAGTGACAGTTCTTGGCTGGCCAATGAAAAGGAAGGAGGTCAAGAAGCATAGCAGGAGGGAGATGAGAAGGATATAGGAGAGATCTCGATTGTTGGCTTTGACTATGGGAGTTTCTTGGAATTTAATGAAGATTCCCAAGACTAAGCCTGTTACCAAAGACAGGAAAAATGCAACACAAGCTAGGATGAGCCCCAAATTTTCTTGATAGGATAGGAAAGTTTCAATCTTAGGTATACAGTCATCTCTCTTGATGTTTGGATGTTGATCTGCTGGGCATTTAGTGCATTTTTCAGCATCTGGAAAAAGAAACCCAAAATTAATATTGATAATAAAATAGGTTCTTCCATCAGATGCATATTGGAGTGAACTAGTGATGTGTTGGATGAATGTGTGTGGGGAAAGGGACGGTAGCAGAGATGGGATTCACTTACCTTCCCTACCGGTTCACAACTGTGAGCACGCATGTGCACACACACTCACTTTGCTCGCACGCACCACCACTCTATATGCACATGGCCTTCCACGCATGCACAGTAATCACGCATTACGTCGGGGCAGTTGCACGGAGCCTCCCGCAGTCGCCACTACCGGTTCTCCCGAACCGGACAGAACTGGAAAATTCCCACCACTGTACATTAATATGCAACAATGGTTGGGAAGTTTAAGAAGTAGAACACAGAAGGACAAGTGTCAAAGGGAAGTCAGAATTTCTGCCACATAGTTCCAGGATAAGCATTGTCTGCTTTTAGAGGTTGCATCGTTTGCATCCCAGATTCCGTGAATTACCTTTTAGAGATGAAATCCAAAGCACTCTGTGGCACTCCCACCCATGGACAGATGGTCATTCTGACCTCCTATATTGGACTAGTTGAAGCACAAGGAATAAGAAGTGGGACTCGTCTGCGGTAGTCTGATTCTTTTAAGGAGGAAAATATTTCTCCAATAAACTCAGCTGCTGTTCTTCATGTGTAAACTGGCTATTAGTAAAGCGTTTTCTTAAATTCTCCTTTGCAAATGTCAATGTCACCCTTCACTTTGATCATAGAGATGGCCAGGTTTCCTGTCTATGCAGTAGTTTCCCTGGTTGTTTGATCCGCCCTCTTTGTTTTCCCTCACAATCTTGCCAGGAAAGCAAGTTGTTGTTGTTGTTGTTGTTGTTGTTGTTGTTGTTGTTGTTGTTATTATTATTATTATTATTATATCATATTTCTATGCCGCCCACTCTCCGAGGACTCTGGGCGGCTTACAACAATCGACAGTATACTAAATAGCATGTTGCCCCCAACAATCTGGGTCCTCATTTTACCCACTTCGGAAGGATGGAAGGCTAAGTCAACCTTGAGCCGGTGAAATTTGATCTGCTGATCTGCTGAACTAGCAGTCAGCTAAAGTAGCTGCAGTACTGCACTCTAACCACTGCGCCACCTCGGCTCAGTGTTTTCCATCTCTTTGGGGACCTCTTTTGAGGATAGATGAAAAAAGCCACCCTCAATTTTACAGTCCTTTCTATGACGTCAAAAAGAAACTGTCCCTCATTTCTCATATGGGAAATGTTTGAGAAAAGAATAAAGAAAGGGAGGAAGGGAAGGAGGGAAGGAAGGAAAGAGGGAGGGAGGGAGGAAATAGGAAGGAAGGAAGGAAGGAAGGAAGGAAGGAAGGAAGGAAGGAAGGAAGGAAGGACCCGTGTTGGACGTAAAATAAATGTCCTGTTAAATAAATGTCCAGCATTTTAGTCACGCATTATTAGATGGAAAGGGAAAGGAAGGGAAGGGGAAGGAAAGATCAGAAATTCTCAATTTTTCCAGAAATGCAAAGAAAAATTGATAGAGATTAACCAATAAAGAAAATGAAAAGCAAGAAATACTTTTTAAAAAGGTGTCAGGGTTCCAATTAATACTTATTAATTTAGTATTAATTGTTATTAATAATTATTAACTATTAATTATTATTAAATAATAATTAATAATCCCAGCCAAAAGAAACCCTGAAGCCAAGAGTTCCTCAGAATTCCATTTTATTAGAGAGGTCATCTTGGCACATCTGGGAAAACCCAAATCTGAAAGCCCTCAGGTTTTCCCCATCCAAAGGAAAGTCAAAGTTCCTTCCCCTGCACCCACATGTCCATCACATGGCCCAATCAATTAACCGTCCCAACTAGAGATGTTCTCCAGTCACGCCTCTCCAGGTGCAGGCTGAACATCCTTGACTCCCAGGCAAAGGAATATTGTTATGGCTATATATGGTCACCAACTCCATGCAAACCCCCTCCCATTTTCCCATAGCACTAAATGTGGCAATCATGAAGATTGAAGCTAAAGATGGCTTCCAGGGCTGACAGAAGGAAGAGACGAGGGACGGAGGGAGGGAGGAAGGAAGGGAGGGAGGGAGGAAGGAAGGAAAGAAAGATTCAGTGTTGGACTTGTAGATAGACTCACTAAAGAAACAAATTCAGTCTTTTTACTCATGCATTAGTAGATCAAGGGAAGGCAGGGCAAGACAAGGCAAAGTAAAGAAAGGATCAGAAGTTCTCAATTTTTCAAGAAAGACACCCAGAAAAAATGGCAGAGGTTTCCTTGTAAATAAGATGAAAAGGAAGCAATACTGTATTCTTTCTAACGTCAAGACTTCATCAAACCCATCTTTTTAGATATCCTGCTCCCAATTTAAATTAAAGGATAATTTCTTGCCAGTCATTACGTAATAAATTATTTTTGTTAAAAGAAATTATATATTTTAAAATCAAGGTTAAGAATGCCGATCAAAGCACCCTTTCATGAATAATGCCAGGGTCTGTGGTCCTCCCTAAAGTCTACCCCTTTCCTCTGATGTCACCCACCTTCCGTGGTGGAGATGGTTCCTTCTGCACAAGGATGACAATCATAGCAGCAGATGGGTTGTCCTTCCTGAGCCACCTTCTTGAATCCAGGACCACAGCTTTCCACACACCTAGAAGGAGGCAGGGGCTGAGCAGGGAGAGGACAGAAAATAGACTTATTTTCAGAAAAAGGAAAAAGGTGTAATGGTCTCCAGTTCAAGATTTATCTTTGACTACCGTATTTTTCAGAGTATAAGACACTCTGGACTATAAAACGCACCTACCTTTTTTGGGGAGGAAAACAAGAAAAGAATTCTGCCTCTGCCTCCCAGCAATTTGCCTCCTTGCAGCAAATAACAAACAGCCTATTTCAGTTTCAGTACAGCCTGATTAGCACAAGAAAAAAAATCTGCCTCTGCCTCCCAGCAATTTGCCTCCTTGCAGCAAACAGCAAACAGCCTGTTTCAGTTTTATTTTCATTTTCAGCAGAGCCTGATTAGCAGAAGAAAAAAAATCTGCCTCTGCCTCCCAGCAATTTGCCTCCTTGCAGCAAACAGCAGAGACTGAAAATGGGGCAGCAATAGGCAATGGCAATCCCTGCAGCCTGAAACAGCTAATAGTCGGGAGGCCGATCCAACCACTGAGCCTTGGTAGTACAGTGGTCTAAAGCACCCTGTTATTAAGACCAGCTGCTTGCAATTACTGCAGGTTCGGAATCGCGCCAGGCTCAAGGTCGACTCAGCCTTCCATCCTTTCTAAGGTAGGTAAATTGAGGACCCAGTTGTGGGGGCAATAAACTGACTTTGTATAAATATACAAAAGGATGAAGGCTATTGCTTAACACATTGTAAGCCGCCCTGAGTCCTTCGGGAGTAGGGCAGTATACAAATCAAATAAACTAAACTAAACTAAACTAATTGAATTGAATTGAATTCAATCAAATCAAATCAAATCAAATCAAATCAAATCGGGAACCAGAGAATGCATGCCATGGGCAATCTTGCACAATCTGTTTAATAGTTTCCATATCACCACCACCATCACAGCAAGGAGAATCTTTCTATCCCTGCTGATACAGGGCGGAGGCACTTCTCCCAGTATCACACCTAATTCTGTACAATTTCAACCAGACAACGTGAGGCAGGTCAAAACCAGGTGGTTTGGTAGAGGAATCACCAATGGTCAAGCCACAAGGAGTTAAGTTAGACCATTCCTCTCTCCAGGAATCCTGGGGGTTAACTAGATAGTTGGTAAGTGAATAGCTGTTTTCCATGCTGGCCTATGGGATTTCAATCTTGTGATGGGCTGCGCATTGTCCTGGTGAATAGGGAGGGCCTTGTGGTTCAGCTTCCTAGACCAGAGCCAGATGTGCAAAACTGATGAGCTGACATGAAAACTCAAAGGCACATCCTCTCCCCCTCCCCCACCCATCCCCAAGAAATGCAATCCTTTATTACCATCTTCAGTGGAATAAAATAAATATTAATCCCACCTTGTTCATCTTTTCCACCTGTGCAATACTTTTCTGGTCAATGGTAAATTTCAAATCCTGGAATGCACATTTTTCTAGACTCCCAGATCTCACTGACTTGACAGATTTGTTGGGGAAAACGACCCAGTTCACAATCTCCAGGTCAGCTGTTAGGTCTCCTTCCTGATCCAAATAGACCCCATTTATGGGATTATTGTGAAACTGAACGTTTTGAAGGAAGGAGTGAAACTGAAAAGGAAAAGAAAAGAGCAGATTAGAAAGGACATCAGAAGAAAAACACCTTGGACTGTGCTGGGAGGGATCTGAATATTCCTCTCTCTCTGTTCAAATACCAGGTTCTGAGTTTTCAATTTGGTTAGAGGTAGAGATGGGTTTTCCCATAATTTTACCACCAGTTCGCTGTGCGCCGAAAATGTGGATGCACTTTGCTCACACATGTGGCTTGCACACCAGTGATGGGTTTCACATTTTTTTACTACCTGTTCTGTGGGCGTGGCTTGGTGGGCATGGCTTGGTAGGCATGGCAGGGGAAGGATACTGTAAAATCTCCATTCCCTTCCCAATCCAGGGAAAGGTTACTGCAAAATCCCCATTTCCTCCTGATCAGCTGGGACTTGGGAGGCAGAGAATAGATGGGGGCAGGGCCAGTCAGAATTTTTACTACCGGTTCTCCGAACTACTCAAAATTTCCGCTACCGGTTCTCCAGAACTGGTCAGAACCTGCTGAAACCCACCTCTGTTGCACACATGTGCGCGGTTTAGAAAACGTGGCTAAATAGGACGGCATAGCGCCGGGGCAAGTGGGCCCGCAGGTCGCCACTACCGGTTTGTCCAAATACCACCCCTGGTTAAGGGAGTATCAATAAGCATAGAAGTAATAACAGCTGTAGATTAGAACAATGATTATAAAGGACAGGAGTTTGAACAGCTGGTTAGGTTCCTTTCCCCATTACTTTATCTCATTGATGTTTTGTTAATTTAAGATATATTAATGTAAAAACGCAGATTTTAGCCATTCATTTTAATTTTTTTTATATATATATATATATATTTGAATTTCTATACCGCCCTACTCCCGAAGGACTCAGGGCGGTATACAGCCATGAAATAAAACACATAAATATACAAAATTTAAAATCGAATAAAATAAATTAAATAAATTTGGCTGAATTTATATCCATAATTTAAAATACCCATAATTTTAAAATACAATTAAAAATTTAAAATTTTCATTTAAAAGGGAGAAAATTTAGGCAAGGCCCGCTTGATGAAATAAAAGCGTCTTCAACTCGCGGTGGAAGGTGCGCAGATCCGGGATCCTCCGTATCTCTGGGGGGAGCTCATTCCAGATCGTCGGTGCCCCCACAGAGAAGGCTCTCCCCCTAGGGGCCGACAGCCGACATTGTTTGGCCGACGGCACCTGGAGGAGCCCTTCTCTGTGGGAGCGTACTGGTCGGTGGGAGGCTGTTGGTGGTAGTAGGCGGTCCCGTAGATAACCAGGTCCTAAGCCATGGAGTGCTTTAAAGGTGGTAACCAGAACCTTGAAGCGCACCCGGAAGACCACCGGGAGCCAGTGCAGCTCGCGCAGGAGAGGTGTTACATGGGAGCTCCATGTTGCTCCCATAACCACCCGCGCGGCAGCACTCTGCGCCAGTTGGAGACTCCGGGTGCACCTCAAGGGGAGCCCCATGTAGAGAGCATTACAATAGTCCAGACGAGAGGTGACGAGGGCATGAGTGACTGTGCGTAACGAGTCCCGATCTAGAAAGGGACGTAACTGGCGAATCAGGCGAACCTGATGAAAAATCCTCCCGGTCACGGCCGTCAAGTGCTCTTCTAAAGACAGCCGTGAATCCAGGAGGACGCCCAAGTTACGAGCCCTTTCCGTGGGGGCCAATGATTCGCCCCCAATAGCCAGCGATGGCACCAGCTGACTATATCGGGACGTCGGAAACCACAGCCACTCGGTCTTGGATGGGTTGAGCCTGAGCCCGTTTCTCCCCATCCAGATCCGTACGGCCTCCAGGCACTGGGACATCACTTCAAGGGCATCATTGGGGTGATCCGGGGTGGAGATGTACAGCTGAGTGTCGTCAGCGTACAGATGGTACTTCACCCCGAAACCACGGATGATCTCGCCCAGCGGCTTTACATAAATGTTGAACAGGAGGGGCGAGAGAACCGATCCCTGCGGCACCCCACATATAAGGGGCCTCGGGGTCGATCTCTGCCCCCCTGTCAGCACAGACTGCGACCGGTCAGAGAGAAAGGAGGAGAACCACCGTAAAACGGTGCCTCCCACCCCCAACCCTTCCAGCCGGTGCAGCATGATACCATGGTCGATGGTATCAAAAGCCGCTGAGAGGTCTAACAGGACCAGGACAGAGGAACAACCCCTGTCCCGAGCCCTCCAGAGATCATCAACCAACGCGACCAATGCCGTTTCCGTGCTGTACCCAGGTCTGAAGCCCGACTGGAACGGATCTAGATACGACGCTTCATCCAGGTACTGGGGTAGCTGTCGCGCAACCACACTCTCAACAACCTTCGCAACAAAGCAAAGGTTGGAGACTGGACGATAGTTAGCCAATACTGCCGGGTCCAGGGAAGGCTTCTTGAGGAGAGGCCTTACCACCGCCTCTTTCAGGGTGGCGGGGAAGACACCCTCACCCAACGAAGCATTTATAATCCCCTGGAGCCAGCCTCGCGTCACCTCCCGGGAAGCCAGCACTAACCAGGAGGGACACGGGTCCAACAAACATGTGGTCGCGTTCAATCTACCCAGAATCCTGTCCACGTCATCTGGGGTCACAGGATCAAACTCATCCCAGATAACAGTCTCAAGACCTGTCTCCATCACCCTCTCTGGATCTATCGCGTCAGAGTCCAGACCTGCCCGAATCTGAGTGATTTTGTCATACAGATACTGAACAAAATCCTCGGCTCTTCCCTCCAAGGGGTCCTCCCGCGCTTCCTGGTGGAGCAGGGAGCGGGTCACCCTAAACAGGGCGGCCGGGCGATTATCTGATGACGCAATAAGAGCAGCAAAATGAGAACACTTTGCTGCTTTTATCGCCACTAGGTAATTCCTAATATGAGATCTTACCAGTGTTCGGTCAGATTCAGAAAGACTAGCCCTCCAACAGCTCTCTTTTCCGGCGCTTCATCTCCCTCAGCTCCTCGGTGAACCAAGGAGCCAGGCGAGATCGGCGCCGGGTCAGAGGCCGCAAAGGCACGACTCGATCCAGGGCTCCAGCCGCCGCCCTATCCCAGGCGGCAACTAGGTCCCCAGATGAGGCGTGAGCCAGAACCTCCGGGATTGGCCCAAGTTCCATCTGGAACCTATCAGGTTCCATCAGGCGCCTGGGGCGGTACCATCTTACCGGTTCCGCCTCCCTGCGGCGGGGTGCTGCGGTTCGAAGGTCAAGGCGAAGGAGCGAGTGATCTGACCATGACAAGGGCTCGATGACTAAATCCCCTATCTCGAGATCACTCATAATTGAAAGTTTGGTGTTTTTATTTTTATTTTTTTTAATTTTTTGGTACCATTAGTTGCCCAATTCAGGAAAGTAGCTTCGTGTGTCCTATCTGTGTGATTCTCCTGGAGAAAACCAGTAACTAAGCATGGAAAGATCACTGATGGTCGCAAGATATTGGTCCACAGCATCTCTTTTCTTACTAACAGTCATTCCTTTCAGTGATTGGAGAGTATTAGCGGCTCCAAAATTTTGACTGTCTTTTTTGGGGGCTGAAATCTTATATTTTTTCCCTTCTATCCTTACTTACAATGGAGTTTGATCCTGATGAGCTCAAGGTTGACTTAGCCTTCTATTCTTCTGAGAGTGGTAAAATGAGGGCCCAGATTGTTGGGGGGCAAGATGCTGAGGTTGTAAATGTGGTATGTGAGTCTGTGAGCTATTGCTATTAAAATGGATCAGTGCATTAAACTGAATCACATCTTCCAATAGCCCCCCTTTCTCTGGGTTTGTTGCCATCTTCCTGTGCAACCAGGAAATTGATTATATATGCTTGACAAATAAATAAATAAATAAAAATAAATAAATAAATTGTTCATTTTGTCAAAGAATGAAATAAGATTTGTTTGACATGATCTGTTTTTGACAAACCAGAAACAGACGAAATGAAAAAGCATTTCCTTTGGAAAAAAAATGTAAAGGGAAAATATTGCAATAGCAAGGACAGAGGGAAAGGAAAATAAAGGGAATGGAAGGTTGGAATTAGATTGCATTTGAGTTTCATGGTGATTTAAGTTTTTAGAATAAATAACTAAAGCAACTACTTTGAAAACCGATTCCCATCTACAAAGGAAACATGTCTAATGGGAAATATATACCCGCCAAGTCTTCAGACTTGGAGCTTCTGCTTTCATGCCCTTGTTCCTCGTGGCTTTCTTTAATATGGATGTATAAGCTGAATTTAAGGTCCTTCCTACAGCCCAGATGGTGTTGTAAATCAGATAGGTGTCCAGAGCCAGGATTTGATCAATCTCCTCTTCCCTCAAAGCTACCGGTTCTTCCCTCTGTCTGCACCGTCTCCAGACTTTCACCGAAAAGGCGTCCTCGGTAGACGAACATGCAAACGTTCTCTGCCCAAAGTTATACATGGTTCTGAATAAGCTCCTAAAGGCATCATAGTTCACCCATTTCCCTTTCTGAGTCAGAAAAGAAAAAATAGTACTAATGTATTTAAAGGAAAGGTTAGTAAAAATTAAATCAAAACTCAGATCCCAATGAGCTGTGGCGATCCAAACTTTCCCTACAATTGGTTCCGGAACTCTTTGAAATACTTTTTGTACAATCATCATTCCAAACAGGAATGAACTCGTCTCTGAACCATAAACAAAGACGTTGACTTCTCTCCACTTGTAATATTGTAAAAGGTTTATTACTTTCTCAATGCCACTGAGTGGAAAAGTTTGATATATAACTGCACAAATGCCATCCTTTAACATCATAGAAAACATTGTCCTCATGAATCTCTCCCCCTGGTCATTTTCTGGAGCAATAAGACCAACCAAAGTCCATCTGAAATAGAGGAGCAGCTTGACCATCCCTGGGTGCTGGACTCCTTCAGCAGGGAGCATCGGGTAGAAGAAAGGAAACTCAGTTTTATCCCTCAGAATATGGGAAGCAAAATTGTAACTGATCTGAAAGAAATGGAAGACGACGGTATTTTAAATGTAACAAGTAAAATGCAGCTCCTTGCATTTCCGTAATAATACTCTGCTTTTAATTTCTGATTGAAAGTTGCATGACTGAAAACTGTCTCCCCAAGAAAGACAGACCTGAGGGATTTTGTAGGTGCCCAACATAGTTGAAATCTGGACGGAGATGCCAGTTTCTGCCCCTTCCAGAACAGCCACTGTGTTTCTCTGCCTTCCACACCTGTAGTTGGGAACGTTGGCTTCCCCGTCTGAAAGAAGGTCCAGCAAAGCCTCTGAAGTCATTTCTACCTTGAAGAAATTGTCATAGATATTATAACCCAGGGTAATATTAGGTGAAAGAAGACCATTCTGCCTCATGTCCTCGGTAGCGAAAAGGAAGGGTAGCAATTTCCAATAAAATTTGGGTGATTTTCTGCAGGTACAAATATATCAATGAAAATGACATTTAACTTTTCTTCTACAATAACCCTTTTAATGCACCCCATCACAATTATTCTACCAAACAGTTTGTTCCACTCCAAAATATTACAATGGAAAAAGAATAAAAACAATTAGAAAGTTTTGGATTGAACAGTATTTCAAAGGCACTCTCAGCAGTTGGTTGCACTAATAAACTAAAACCTTTGGGTGAGCATGACCATGTCATACTGGAATTCAATATAATGTAATCACAAGCAACAGAATGTAATCCAACCAGTGTCAAACTTCAAAGCTGATTTTAACAAATTCAGAGAGATCCTAAACAAAATTTCATGGATAAAAATCCTAAAAGAGAAAACAACTCAAGAAGCATGGGAAACACTGAAAAATATTATCATAAAAGCCCGTTCCAACACAATACCACTAAATAAGAAAAACAAGAAATCCAAGAAAAAGCCAGCATGGTTGCACAAAGATCTCTCTGATAAACTGAAAGACAAAAGGTATAGGTACAAAAAATGAAAAGAAGGACACATAACTAAGACAGAGTATCAGCAGATAGCCCGAATCTGCAAAGATGAAGTCAGGAAAGCAAAGGCTCAGAATGAACAAAGACTTGCAACAAAAGTCAAAGATAATTTTTAAAAGTTTCTTTCAACATATAAATAGCAAGAAAAAAGTCAAGGAAACAGTTGATCCACTGAAGAGACGAGAGAGAAAGCAGAGCTCCTTAACTCATTTTTTGCATTGGATCGTTGTTGTTTTGTTTCTCTCTTGAAATACCACACCTGAAATACTACATCCAGTTTTGATCACCACGTTACAAAAAAGATGTTGAGACTTTAGAAAAAGTGCAAAGAAGATGATTAAAGGCCTGGAGACTAAAACATATGAAGAATGCTTATAGGATTTGGGTTTGGCTAGTCTAGAGAATAGGCTCTCCAACATGATCGCCAACATCCGATGATAGATATGGCACAATAACAAGAAGAAGTCTAGAGGAAAAAAGGACTATGGGTGACATGATAGCAGTATTCCAGTATTTGAGAGGCTGCCACAAAGAAGAAGGGGTCAATTTATTTTCCAAAACACCAGAGGGCAGGTCAAGAAACAACGGATGGAAACTAATCAAGAAGAGAAGCAACCTAGAACTAAGGAGAAATTTCCTGACAGTAAGAACAATTAACCAGTGGAACAGCTTGCCTTCAGAAGTTCACCACTGAAAGTTTTTAAAAAGAGACCCGACAGCCACTTGTCTGAAATGGTATAGGATCTCTTGCAAGAGAGAAAATCAGAAAATAAATTAGAAAAAGGAGTAAATCAAGAGGAAAGCACTTGTATTTTTGGAGGGTTGGATCTGTAGACAGTCATTGGAAATGAAGTGTCTCTAAAGCACCCTACCACCCTACCGACTTACGTGAAGAATGTTAATGAAGGACTTGCATCGAAGCTTAATAATTGAAATCTAGCCCTCATTGCAGAGACTATGCCATTAATGAAGTAATCTCCTGGCTTGTAATAATTATGTGGCTCCACTTTACTCTGCTCCAGAGTCAGGAGGCATTTGGCTCTGAGCATCCCACAGGCTCCTTGTGACCATCGAAGCAACACAAGTAGAAGGAGCAGCAACATATCTTGTGTTACTGACAGAGCCTTCTCTCTGTGGCACTTGCTTTTTAATGAAGAATGAGAAAATGAAGTAGAAGAAATCAAAACTCCTCCAAGACAGAAGTTTCAGATCCAGACAGGGTCCAGCCATGGGACGTAAACACAGCCTCCACTTCTCCTGTAACCAACTTCCAGATTCTCTTTCTGTCTCCAGAGCCATTTATACACCCAGCATTTCTCACACAGATTCTATCCAACAGGGCTTTTGAATCTGATGTTGGCATCAAAAAATTTTCTGACGTGTTTGTGTTAATTTTTTTTAAGGCTTTGAAGAAACATGTCTAGGGACATGGCATTAAGTCGGCAAATAAATCAGTATGATTTAGATAATTGTAAGAAACAGAGCCATCGCCTCTCTGAACAAATTAACAGTCAAAGTGCTCAAAGACAGAACTCACAGATGTGGCTCCAGGATTGAAAGATGGAGACTCGAGAATTTGGCCCAAAGTTGTTCCAATAAAATCCTTTTAGAAAACCTAGGATCAAGACAGACTTGGCCATGAAGAATGACATATTAATGTGAATTTAGGTGGGGTTTTTTTCCCCCTAGGGAAATTTGTTGAAAGGTCTCTAGTAGCTGTAACTCCCCTTTAGTGATTAGTAAATAAGGCTTATTTTAAGTCAAACAGTTGTGGGGACTAACAAAATAATTTCCTGTTGATCTTAGTAATCTTCTCTTTTGCTTACCATAAAGTCCAGCAAAATCCTGAGAAGGAGACCTTTTTCTCAGTATGAGCTGCATTAGCATTTTGGCTTCAGGTAACAGTAACGGAGTTGGAAGGGACCTTGGAGGTCATCTAGTCCAACCCCCTGCTCACACAGGAGACCTGTACTAGGGATTCGAACCGTCTAACTGCCAACCTTTCTGATCGGCAAGCTCAGTGTCTTAGCCACTGAACCACCAAGCCAATTCAACTATGACTGCTTCCATTCTTGGTATTGCTTGTGAAGTTGAACTAACCATTTATTTCTGTATATTTTGGCAATATAGCATTTATGTCACACAAATTATGTATCAGCTTGGAAACTCCTGATAAATCCAGACACTGCAGAAGACCAGCATGTTGAAGGTGATCAGCTTGGCTTCGTTGAAAGCCCCAGGCAGACTCTTGGCTACGAAAGCTACAGTGAAGCATATGACAGCCAGGAAGTCCATGGAGTCAAGAGCACCATAAAAAATGGCAACAGAGCCTTCATTACACTTTATATTTATTTATACATTCATTCATTCATTCATTCATTTTGTCAAGTGCATATTAGATAAGTATAAGCATGAATTGAATACATAAAATGAATACAATTAAAGGAAACATTAGGACAGGGACAGTAGGCACGCTGGTGCTCTTATGCACGCCCCTTACAGAACTCTTAGGAATGGGGTAAGGTCAACAGTAGACAGTTTTAGGTTAAAGTTTTGGGGGTTTTGGGATGAGACCACAGAGTCTGGTAGTGCATTCCAGGCATTAACAACTCTGTTGTTAATGAGGTTTTTGCTAGACCAATTCTCGAATACAGCTCATCTGTCTGGAACCCGCACTGCATATCAGACATGAATACAATAGAGAGAGTCCAGAAATATTTCACAAGAAGAGTTCTCCATTCCTCTGCTCGTAACAAAATACCCTATGCCACCAGACTTGAAATTCTGGGTTTAGAAAATTTAGAACTACGCCGCCTTCGGTATGACCTAAGCATAGCTCATAAAACCAGATTGGATATGATCTAGTCCAGTGATGGCTAACCTTTTTGTCATCATGTGCCAGGAAGGAGGGGGCGGGGAGGTTCGCATGCACGTGTGCCCACACCCATAATTCTATGCGCCCCACCCTGCACATGCATGTGCGACTCCTCCCCCCCACTCCCGGCACGCGATAGCCCAGCAGGCCTTCCCCATGCCCTGGGAGGCCCTAGAGAGGCTCTGGAGGCTGGGGACAGCAAAAAAGTCATTTCCTGTCTAACCGAAAGTTGGAAAACAGGCCGTTTCAGGCCTCCGGGGGGGCTCCAAGTTGGTGGGGAAGACTGTTTTCACCCTCCCCAGATGCATAGAGAGGATCTGGAGCCAGATGAGAAAGAAAAATGGGCCTTCCCCACCCACCAGGCCCTCCAGAGGCAGGAAGCAGCCTGTTTCCCTACTTCTAGTGGCCCAGAAGGCCCGAAAATCAGCTGGCACACAGGAGCTGGTGTGCCAGGCAACATGGCTCCGCATGCCACCTGTGGCATCCGTGCCATAGGTTCGCCATCCCGGATCTAGTCCTTTGCCTGTAGATTCAGAGGCAGTGAATCAAACACTGATGTCATTTCCAGTCCCTCCCTGGCCCACACTGATTCCTCTTTGGCCAAAATGGATGCCAAGAAGAAGGGAAAATTCCCTCAGTTTAAGCATCTTGCAACCCATCAATGTTCTCATGACTAATGGGAAGATTATGGTCCAGGGATTTGTCGTCATTGCTGCATCAGGGTTCAACCCATCCAAGACTGTGTTGCTGTGGTTTCCGACGTCCCGATATAGTCAGTTGGTGCCATCACTGACTATTGGGGGTGAATCGCTGACCCCCACGGAGAGGGCTCGCAACTTGGGCGTCCTCCTGGATTCACGTCTGTCTTTAGAAGAGCACTTGACGGCCGTGACCGGGAGGATTTTTCATCAGGTTCACCTGATTCGCCAGTTGCGTCCCTTTCTGGATCGGGACTCCTTACGCACGGTCACTCATGCCCTCGTCACCTCCCGCCTGGACTATTGTAACGCTCTCTACATGAGGCTCCCCTTGAGGAGTACCTGGAAGCTCCAACTGGGGCAGAGTGCGGCCGCGCAGGTGGTAATGGGAGCGACATGGAGTTCCCATGTAACACCTCTCCTGCGCAAGCTGCACTGGCTCCCGGTGGTCTTCCGGGTGCGCTTCAAGGTTTTGGTTACCACCTTTAAAGCGCTCCATGGCTCAGGACCTGGGTACTTGTGGGACTGCCTACTACCACTAATAGCCTCCCACTGGCCGGGACGCTCTCATAGAGAGGGGCTCCTCCAGGTGCTGTCGGCCAAACAATGTCGACTGGCAGCCCCCAGGGGGAGAGCCTTCTCTGTGGGGGCACCTACTATCTGGAACGAGCTCCCCCCGGAGGTACGGAGGATCCCGGATCTGCGCACCTTCCGCTGTGCTCTAAAGACCTTTTTATTTCACCACGCGGGCCTGGCCTCACTTTCTCCCTCTTTTTAAACATTTTTAATATTTTTTAATATTTTTTGTATTTTTAATATTCAAAGTTTAAATTGT